AAAGGCCTTGAAATTAGGTAATGTACCTGAAAATGGGCTTGAAATTAGGTAATGTACCTTGAAAAGGCCTTGAAATTAGGTAATGTACCTTGAAAAGGCCTTGAAATTAGGTAAAGTACCTTGAAAAGGCCTTGAAATTAGTTTCTGCACAGAATGGATAATGTGCCTTGTAAATCCTGCTGTGTACATTTTGGAGGAAATATGGTAATTTTAGCCTTTATTCCCGGCCCTGTTGAAGGGAATGTGTAAGGAGCTTCAATAAGACTCCACAATGGTGTTGTGAGCTCATTCAGGCATTCAGTGTGTGGGAGGCTGACTCACAATAACAACCCTGCAGCGAGCTGAGACACAATTGTTTAGCCCTAAACTGTCTGTATCTGCAGATAAATCAATAAACACAATATCCTTCTATCCAAGAGGTATTAATAGCAAGTGATTATCAGATACAGATACATGACAAGCATACGGTATATATAAACTTTCTACACAGAACAAAATGTGACTCCATCACAGTACATGATACTGATTTGACTTGTTGTGAAGTTAGTGAAGTTAGTAAAGTATGATGCTGTCTGTAGTAATAGTCCAGCAATATCAATATGTAAGGAGGCCCCTAGAACTAGCCCCTAACATTGCATATGGCAGCCTTCGAAATTTCCGCTAGTCAGCGAGCCAGAGACTACCAAATTGTGCTGAAGACAAGGGAAAATCCATTGATGGTAGTCCTCATAGACCAGAAACATTTGAGGGTCTTAATTCTGAAACAGTTTTCAACATGCTTATTGCTCCAGTATTGCTACAAATTGAAAAGGGGGCGGTCGGGTAGCCTAGTGGTTAAAGCGTTCGCTCGTCACGCCCAAGACCCGGGTTCGATTCCAGACATGGGTACAATGTGTGAAGCCCATTTCGTGTGTCCCCCGCCGTGATATTGCTGGAATATTGCTAAAAGCGGCGTAAAACCAAACTCACTCACTACAAATTGAAAATGAATAAAATAGAAAATGTAAACATAGATACCATATGTCTCATTCGAACATAATCGCTTTTTCATAAGCGAGTAAGATTTCACCCCACTGCTATCAATAGTCTAGCGGCGTCACAACATGGAGAATCAAGAATAGACATCATACATTGTGCCCACATAGGGAACTGAACCCAGGTTCCTAGTGTGAAGCAAACGCTTTACCCACTAGGCCCCCCAACCATCCTCGCTTGGATTTACACCAGACAGATACCCAGCAAACTATGCTTGTTGTGAGAGGTGACCAAATGGATCAGGTGGTCAGTTTATTTATTTTTATTTATTTGTTTGTTGTTTAACGCCGCACTCAGCAACATTCCAGCTATATGACGGTGGTCTGTAAATAATCCAGTCTGGGACAGACAATCCAGTGATGGACATCATGAGCATCGATCCATGCAATTGGGATATGATGACATGCATCAACCAAGTCAGCGAGCCTGACTACCCGATCCCGTTAGTCGCCCCTTACGACAAGTATAGTCGTCTTTTATGGCAAGCATGGGTTGCTGAAGGCCTATTCTACCCCGGAATCTTCACGGGTCTCAGGTGGTCAGACTCCATGACTTGGTTGATGCGGGACATTGTATCCCAACTGCGTGGATTGATGCTCATGAAATCAAGTGGTAGAAAGCAATCTGTCAAATATTTGTGTACATCCTCCATGCAAAACAACCAAGTGTTTGAAATGAAAGGGGTTCCTGATGTTTGCTGCCATAGTAATTGAATCTAGAGACCCCTTTAACTTTTAATGTTAGAGTTATGACAAGCATCCCATGACTTTCATTTTTACTTTCGAAGACAAATCGGGGCGGTCGGGTATGCTAGTGGTTAAAGCGTTCGCTCGTCATGCCAAAGGCCCATGGTTTTAAGCCGCTTTTAGCAATATTCCAGCAATATCACGGCAGGGGACACCAGCAATGGGCTTCACACATTGTAGCCATGTCGGGAATCGAACCCGGGTCTTGGGCGTGACGAGCGAACGCTTAAACCACGAGGCTACCCGACCGCCCTTCGGGATATGTTAGCTCATATGAACTATATATGACTCAGATAAAACAAAGAGACCCACAGCACTCTTTAGCTCTAAACATTTTTTTTCTTCAATACAGGCAATGTTAGATTATTCATGTCATAAGGAGGACCGGGGTTTTATCCCAAAAATGTATAATCGTCGCAGTATATTCTTAAAAGAAAAATTATACTTCAGACAGTTGAAAAAAAACCCGAAATTGCCTGCCACATAAAATACATTGTTGCAGGACCTTTATTTTTATAAAATATTTAGGCTCAAAGTTTTGATTAAAAAGAAAAACCGGTTTTGCAACTGAAGCTGAAAAAATATCCAGTCTCCTGACAAAATCCAAGGGCCCTGACAGAATATCGGTCCCTCATGAAAGATTGATCAAAATTATGCAAAAATATGCCATTATGGCAGAATAATTAACTAAACACAAAGTGGCCATGTGTCACGTTAAATATTGAATTATAATCTTGTGAGCACATTTCAGAAATATGATTACCAACATCATATACCGGTACACTAGATTTCAGCTTCAAAACCCAGGAGTTTCAGAGGCGATATTGAAACTGTAGTCATGCACGGTTGTATGTGAACATCAATGGCCAAAACAAAAGTCTGTGCCCACAGCTTGCCTGAACTAAGGCTCTTGCAACACTTACAGTGAATTTATCGTACAAATACGGACTAATATTTGCTGAGGTTCCTGGACCGAACAGAATAGTACCAGATTTGGGCGTTGGATGAAAGCCAACAGTTGACTATAACAGGATAAAAAACACACACAAAAATCCCACATGTTAATCCAAATATGGCATACTTCAATTGAGGTGCGGTAATTATTTTACCTTGGATTAAATAGATTTGTGTATTTTTCAAATACCGTATTCGACGTAAGGCGCTCTCAAAATTAGAAATAGGGGGCTCTTATTAGAATATTATTTGAGTTGAAAGATCGTAAATTTCGTGGTTTATGCCGACAGCCTGAAATGTTTATATACGACAGATATAGTTTTCCAGAATTTAATTGCCCATAATTAAGGGTGCATATAACATACGAGTGCGTATTATACACAAATAAATAAGTCTTGTGTACATTAATCAATTGGAAGGGGTGCTAATTGAGATTGTTCACTAGCCAATATATTAACAAATATCGCAGTGGGCGCTTATTAGAGCAGGGCGCTTATTACGTTGAATACGGTACTCATCAATCAGGATGGGCTTGCAAATATACAGGACATCATGGTATTACTGGTATACCGATTTACAACAATACGCTTTTCAAACAATATACATTGCAATAATATTTCTGTGTACTGGTATATGGGTAAAAATTATATTTAAAAAATTCATTATAATTCAATTTGTACTGTTACATAAAATCTACACAGAAATTCATTCCCAAATGACGTTTCCCTTCCAAATTAATTGAAAAAGACGGAAACGAGGAATTGATTTTTCTCTCTTGTTGGTATCTCCCTTGTATCCATGACTACAAAATGGCAGCGACAGACCATGCGGACATTGTAATATTTACTTTAGATTGTATGTACAATCAGTGTCAATCACGGTGAAACACTGAAGCTCCTAATATATTGCAATACATATGATTTCATCGCAACATATCTTGTAATATATATTAACTTTAGAATGTAGAAAATAGGATCTGTATGTATAATCAGTGTCAATCACTGTGAAACACTGAAGCTCCCAATATATTGCAATACATATGATTTCATCGCAACATATCTTGTAATATATATTTACTTTAGATTGTAGAAAATAGGATCTGTATGTACAATCAGTGTCAATCACTGTCAAACACCGCACAATATATCGCAATACATATGATTTTATCGCAACATATCTTGTAATATATATGATTTTATCGCAATATATTGCAATACATTTTTCTGCCAATACACAGCCCTACAAATATATGACTTCTCACAACCAATTAAACTAGACTGTAATCCCTGAGGCTGTTTTCTTGTGGATGAGTCACAGTATGTCAATGACACGAACACTTATGGCAACCACAGCTGCCAATAAAACAACATCAGCAAACGAAACGATTTTGCGTGATATTTCAACATGTTTCTTTAAACTCAACCTTGATATTTCAACTGTAAGCTGACTACATAAATAAAAGAGCAGAAGACATTCCAACTGAATTGATTGCCAAAGACTAGCTCATATTCAAATATCACAAAACTGCTTCCTGTAAAACATTGAAAATCAGACTTTTACTAGCAAAATATCACAATATTTTGTAATAATTAAATGATTTGCCAGTTTTTTAGCATCAACAATGCCGGTTTCTGGTATAACAAGCAATGAACAGTATTCCAGTTGTACCATGACATGCATCAACCAAGTCAGCGAGCCTGACCACCCGATCCCGTTTCGCCTTTTATGACAAGCATAGTCTCCTTTTACGGCAAGCATGGGTTGCTGAAGACCTATTCTACCCTGGACCTTCACGGGTCCTGAAGTGATGAAGGTCTCAGATATTTACCACTTGAAGCTGACAATGCCAGAAACTTGATCATTGGGTTCGGAACATCTAAGACATGCAACTCCACACAAAATGGAGTGCCTAACATGACTGGAAGGGTTATGGTGAGGTTCACATCCAACCTGAAATAAATTCTGTATCCTATTTTGACCTTCAGCCTTAGAAGTTTGTCTATCAATATAACTTATATCACTGGTCCTCAGAGTTTGTAGTTTTTCCTTCTTGAATGTGACATTAATGTTTATGATGTTTACATATTCTGTTTTATTCAGTCCGAATTTGTAGCAAACTTAAAGAAATGAAAACAGGTTCAGAATCATAATTCTCAAATGCTCGGAGTCAATGAGGATTACAATCACAGTCTCGGGCTTGCAGACTAGCGTGAATGTCTAAGGCTGCTGGACTGCTCTCTGACATGTCCCGGCTGTGAAACTTACTTGCAAGTCTCCTCTGCGGATCTAACAAATTCCGTGGAAAGTCCCCGACTTCGGCAGTCCTCTTGTTCTGTCCCTTCCACCAGTAATTCTCAGGGCTGGAAGTAAAGATCATTATAAGCTATCATTGTGGCTGAGGCAATGGTTAAAATAACTTTTCTGACACCTGGTGCAAGGGTTAAAAAGCAACGCAAGCCCGCTAGCCACGGCTTGTATAAATTCCTGCAGGTTTGTACAAATGTACAAATTTTTCCATTGTCTTAACATTACAAGGGGATTGTATCTTGACCCGGTCTCGTAAAGCTCTTGAGTTTAGTTCTTACCCTGCAGTGCTATTACAAAAGAATGTTCAAATAAGTTGGTTGGTTGGTTGGTTTGTTGTTTAACACCGCACTCAGCAATATTCCAGCTATATGACGGCGGTCGGTAAATAATCGAGTCTGGACCAGACAATCCTTTTACGGCAAGCATGGGTTGCTGAAGACCTATTCTACCCTGGACCTTCACGGGTCCTGAAGTGATGAAGGTCTCAGATATTTACCACTTGAAGCTGACAATGCCAGAAACTTGATCATTGGGTTCGGAACATCTAAGACATGCAACTCCACACAAAATGGAGTGCCTAACATGACTGGAAGGGTTATGGTGAGGTTCACATCCAACCTGAAATAAATTCTGTATCCTATTTTGACCTTCAGCCTTAGAAGTTTGTCTATCAATATAACTTATATCACTGGTCCTCAGAGTTTGTAGTTTTTCCTTCTTGAATGTGACATTAATGTTTATGATGTTTACATATTCTGTTTTATTCAGTCCGAATTTGTAGCAAACTTAAAGAAATGAAAACAGGTTCAGAATCATAATTCTCAAATGCTCGGAGTCAATGAGGATTACAATCACAGTCACGGCTTGTATAAATTCCTGCATGATTGACATCATGAGCATTGATCCGCGCAATTGGGATCGATGACATGCATCAACCAAGTCAGCAAGCCTGACCACCCGGACCCTGTTAGTCGCCTTTTACAACAAGCAATGTCACCTTTTATGGCAAGCACGGGTTACTGAAGACCTATTCTACCCCGGAATCTTCACGGGTTGTTCAAATAAGAAATAAACCCATCTCACTCACTCACTCAAGCTGTAGGATAGCTGACCTATTTATTTGAATGTCTCCCTCAAAGGTTGTGCAGAATTTCTGTTATGTGGTTTTAACCGGCGATATCACAAACATAAGCAGAATATATTGTTTTTGGTCTCAGTTAATGGCTTTGATCAACCAACCAAAAGCCCAAACCATTTTCAACCAAATATAATAATCTTTTAATGGACATGATGTTTATACGACATTACTTCTGTTGCGTGGTTTTGTTTCATGTTGAACCCACGTGAAACCCACGACCAGTAGCAAGCTCCTCACTGTGATAGCACAGCAACCATGCATGGAGTTCAACTTGCAACTGACTGACCGTTATGTTTACAAGCAAGTGATGACTGTCGTTTGAAGGAAAACTCTTCTCCAGGTTGTTTGTTTATTTGTTTGTTTGTTGTTTAATGCTGCAGCTGTATTGCTGCTGTCTGTAAATAATCAAGTCTGGACCAAACAATCCAGTGATTGACATCATGAGCATCGATCTACACAATTGGGATATGATGACATGCATCAACCAAGCTAATTGCCTCTTACGACAAGCATAGTCGCCTCTTACGACAAACATGGATTGCTGAAGATCTATTCTATTCAGGTAAACTGTTTAGTTTGTTTGTCAATTTGAATTTCAACTAAAATGTAATTAGTATAGTGAGAATGTAAGAGGGAAGTTGAGTGCTTTTCTGTTAGTCTCAAATGTCAAACCAATCTCATTAAATGCATCTAGGAAACAGAAAATCAATCGTAAACCTATTCCTGCTTTGCCAAGATGGCATTCCAGAATACCTACACAAAATTATAAATTTCAATATATTTGGGGTTAGAGTTATAGCTGCAATGACTTACACTAGGGCTGGGACGGGTAACTCGGGTACTCGGGTACTTGGGTCGGGTGGGTACTAAGTAGGACCTGGGTACTCACAGGACTACCCGGACCCGTGGATATATAGTCATGTGATATACTGTTTAATGCCAAAAAGTATCTAAACCTCTATGTTTAAACTACAAGTCACTATTGTCCGCAGTTCTTCATGACTACTACGCCCATTGCTTCGGACTTTTATAGATAATAAAACTTCATAAAAATATAACTTCGGTCAACTTCAGTGTATACACCAGATCGTTTCATACATGTATCTAAACACATTTTACCAGAGCTACGGTCGAACTTTTTCCAATCGGACAGTTTGTACCTACCTCTTGAGACCTACAGCGGGTACCCGGGTAGGGTCGGGTAATAGAGGGGTGGGTACCCGGGTAGTAAATTTGGACTCGTCCCAGCCCTAACTTACACATTCTGATATTTAACATTCTTTCAGAGAAAATTGTTTGAATTTATTAATATTTGTCCTGACAATCTTCAAGTAATCTTCAACACATTGGCTGGTGAATGACATCACTTCTAGTACAGGAAAACACATGTGTAACTTAAAATCTCACAGTTGTACGGCAGATATTATCTCACTCTAGAATGCCTTGATACAATGAATGACGTCACATGCTTCCCTGATAACTGAAGATGCCTGGTCAACAAAATGTGGAAAAAAACAAAAACAAAACAAACTTGTTCTGATAAACTCATCAAAGTTTGCATGTTTCTTTGTTTGTTGTTTAACGACACATTCAGTAATATTCCAGGTCTATGACAGCCGGCTATAATTAATCAAGTCTGGACCAAACAATCCAGTGATTGACATCACGAGCATCGGTCACGCAATTGGGATACGATGACAAGAATCACCCAGGTCAGCGAGCCTGACCACCTGATCCCGTTAGACACCTCTTACGACAAGCATTGTTGCCTTTTACAGCAAACAATTGCTGAAGACCTATTCTACTAGGGATCTTTGCAGGAACATCAAACTTAGTAATTACTTAACATGGTATTCATTTTGACAAGAAAAATGGCACGTATTACAAGTGTAGGATTGAAAAAAAGAACGCTTTACAAGTAATGTATTCATATGCAGTGAAAAGTCTGAAATATTTTGTTGATCTAATCCCATTTAACAACATTTTTCAAGCAATCAGATTGCAGCACACACTTTAAAATCTCATCAACACAGAACGACAGCAAGAGACAATGAGTCTGAATGTCAGGTCGACCACACAGGCCAACAGCTCTCCCACTCAACATAAGACAGACAAAATTCTTTGCTGTTCCTTGTGACTGAGAACTTGGAGGTAAAAGTCCCCTGAATGAACTATACCAAGTATCTACAATCAGGGGTCACGCTTCTCTGATAGCACGAGGTGTGTGCGCGGCAGGGTGTTATTCTGCCAGGCTATGTGGCGACTCACACAATCAAGTCCAAGGCTGGATTGGCAAGCAGCCAAAATATCTATCAAATTGTTACACCTTTGAGAAGAATCGATCATTTCACTGGAGTGCACTTTACACAGTTTAGTTCATTTAGGTATTGACAGGAATAGAGTACATGGTCCTAAGACAGGAAGAATTGGAATGTTAATCTATTTTGTTGTGTCTTAAAATAGTGGATAATATTTAGACAATCATGTTGAAAAAAGGGGGAGAGACATATATCCATTGATTGTCCTTAAGCGTGAGTTTTAACAGAATATATCTGGATCCTATTTTTCCTTCTCCATTTTCACAGTATGAAAATATCTAAATTTGTTTACTTTAATTGCTTCACAGTATATTCATGGATATTTCGATCGTCATGAAATTATAAAACGGATGATGTCATCAATGACTTCGCCATAAAATGATACAATTACTGCTCACAAATCTTTTAAAAATGTGAGCCATAAATACCTATAAAACATGTCAATTTGCGTGATATTATGTCATCAAGCCTAAAACTGATATCAACTGACCACTTCTCTATGAGCATATGAAAATTAACACTGTAAGCAAGACAATGTTTGACACTGATATTAAAATTGAAACTACAAATTATGCAAGACGTCACTTTGGCTTCACAAAAAGCTGACATGAGATTAGCTCAAATCGTGCAAAACCTTAATCCAAACCTACCGTCAAGCATGGATAATCCCCAACACAAATCCTGGTCCTGTCTTTGCAGACACTAAATATCCCCTGACCTTGACCTAGGTGTAATCAATGAGCAAATACCTGTACCCACAGTATGTCCACTTCCAACAGAGCCTTCCTGGGTATGTCTGATTCCGTCGATCACATTACATCAAATAATTGATCAGCTTGTCGCATTGATTTCTTCTCGTGCCCTGCTGCAGGCTTCTGACAGCATGAATCATTCATACCTGTTCTAGTCTCCAGCTCAGACTGGTGGGGAGGGATCAGAGGTATTGTGGTCAGCCAACAGAATGGAGTCAGTTTGTGGTTGGAGGTCTGAAAGGTGGTGGTCGCGGGGTGTTGGGGGCTGGGGTGAGGTGAAATGGGGTTTAATGTGGCGGTCAGCATTATTTCACTCATATAGCTTTTGTTTGTTTGTTTGTTTGTTTGTTGTTTAATGTCGCACTCAGCGATATTCCAGCTATATGACGGCGGTCTGTAAATAATCGAGTCTGGACCAGACAATCCAGTGATTGATATCATGAGCATCGATCCACACAATGGGGATCGATGACATGCATCAACCAAGTCGGCGAGCCTAACCACCCAATCCCGTTAGTCGCCTCTTACGACAAGCATAGTTGCCTTTTACGGCAAGCATGGGTTGCTGAAGACTTGTTTGTTTGTTTTTTAATGCCGCGTTCAGCAGTATTCCATCTGCATGATGATGATCAGTAAATAATCGAGTCTGGACCAGACAATCCAGTGATTGACATCATGAGCGTCTCGTTATACGACAAGCATCGTCGCATGGGTTGCTGAAGACAAATTCTCTACCCGGACCCACTCATACAGCTATGTGCATGCATGTGTGTAGCTGTTTGTACAAGTCCAGACTTATGTGGGCATACAATCCACAATCAACAAAAACACTGAATATCCATTTT